CTTGGAGCGCTACAACTACCAGCCAAATAGAGTGTATAGAATTTGGTAGGGGATGTCGACGCATTTTTGTTACCTACGGATGCAGTTAAGACGTCAGGGTTCTCTTGACACCGAACGCAGAAGCGTAATTTGATCATTTAAACGAACTACGATGAATTTGGAGAACAGTGCAGTCAAGGAGGGGAAAAAAGCGGTCAACGGAACTTTAAAAAATTTCAAAGATCAATGCGCTGGATTTTTGAGAAATGAGTAACAGATATCACACAGACCTGTGGACCGCGCTCCTCGTCCATCTCAACAGTCATGAGAGCGGCTGCACCCTGTTGTGTAATCTTGCTGGCAGAACCGTGCCAAAAGAAGTAGGCGCACTGATCACCTGAAGTCTTCTGATTGATCATAGTGCTAAGCCGGTTGTTACTCATCAAAGCATCTTGACGACTACCTTGACGTGAGAAGGAAATGCTTGTCAAAATGAAGAAAAAAAAACAGCTGGTTGGGTTTGTTTGCACGTTTATCATCCCCCTTCAGACATCTCAGATTCCCCTATTTGGAGGCACGAATGAGCATGGCTGCTCTCTCTCCCTCGTCAACACTCCCGTCTCTTCTGGGTTGTCACCAGATCCCAACGGATATGTGGATAACCCTATACGAATGTTCGCCTCATACTCCACCTTTCATCGGAATCCCTACATCGACGATCCGGTAGTCCCTTAGCAAGGACTCGTATGCTACTGTCTCGCAAGAGTACCGTTTGATGAAGGAACAGTCTGCCATAGTTTAGTAAATTTGTCCCCTGAGGTGGTGGAATGGCGTTATGCCATATTATTAATAGCTGACGAAGTTATAGTTTGAAGATTGTACAGTCTAACAAAATTACTAATGCAATTATTACCATTATATCATAGACTCAACACTCAAACAATATGCTTTATCGATACGCACAAAATCCCTCCGCTTTCTACCTCTCTGTTTTGTTTTGCACTTGACCAAGAGATTATTCATGAATGCAAGGGCCCGCATTACTCCGGATTCTAGGTTCAGGAATTGCAGCATGCAGGTACGGACAGCTAAATCGAGCCAAATGCAAAGTAAACTGAACCAAAACCCACCGTTATAGACACGGAAGGGCCACCGAATAACATACGTCTCCGCTCGACAGAATTGACCATAACTAGTCTTGGACACTGGTTTGGCTGCATATTCGGCGATGCGCCAAATCTTCAAGTCACCAACAGTTTCCACATAGAAGCGTCGCATAATGCCATCCAAGGGACGCACACCTTCACCACATCCTCGACCCAAAAATCGACCCTCAAGAGTTAAGAGAGTCGCCTGCGGTGGTGGCTCTTGAAAGGCCTCCCTGAAGAGCGCATCCACAGAGAGCATCTCCGGATTGATGGTGGTAGTGGTGGTGTTGGTGGATGAACATCCACCCAGTGTAGCCTAAACAGAAAACGAGAGTACGATGGCCTCATCTAAGCCAGGATGGACAAATCATCGTTGTAAGCGTTAGCAAATTTGCCGGCTATGTAATACAACAACACTAAAAAGGTTCAAAACTATTGTGGTGGCCAAAAAGGGAGATAGGTGTTGCCTCATTCCATTCCTCGCAGCCTCTTTTACCAATCAAACGATAAACCGAAAACTTCGCCTTTTAGTAAATTAGATAAAAGTGCACCTTGTGGGAGGAGTTTCACACCGAATTTGCATGACATGGCAAAAGCTAAGGCTGCTGACAAGGCCTATTCATCGCTTATGCCTCACACATCAAGAGGAATAACGAGCAGCTTCCTAGCGGAAAGATATTCGGTAGCGACACAAACTAGCAACCCAACACAACATGCACAGAAGACTTGAGTAACGCATTTAGTATGCAAATATGTATTAGCCGAGGGGTAATTTACGGTCACCTCAGGAGCATACACACACACACACTGCGGGTCATGAGATCGGTGTGCATTCGTCATTCTCTAGGCTCAAGGTGCGCCTAGAAACATAACTAACCTTTGCAGAGTGCTGACGAACAAGCTGACCGAAACGTGAGCCCTCCGGCCAATCAAGAAACTTCTCTTTGAAGAGAACTGTCTCACCTCGTTCTGGCACCTTCGCCACCAGAGTCCAGTCTGGACGAGTGGATCCACACTTGGGACAGTCAATAGCTAAAGAGATTTAACAGACAGAAAAATGAAAATTGACTGCATAATCGAGTGGCAAACATTCAGAAGATTAGCCTTACACCACCGGTCATCGACTGGATTCCGGAGAAAAACAGCTAGTGCGATGTCTATCTGGTCGTGGTATCGAGCAATTTTGTGGTGAACTTTTGAACCCATTAATTGGGTTCCAGGACAGATTGCAGTGTCAGTGATCATGTGGTGGACGCCAGGTCAGATGAAATCACGATGGAAGAGATATTTCATCTCCTTACTAATGACTTGGCTTATCCCATGGAATGACCTTGAGGTAACCAATCAAGAAGACGGAGCCCGAAAAGTTCACAACAACCTCACCAACAATACACGTACAACGTTCTGACATTGCGTGTTTGAACTAACTAGTTCCATAAGATGGCGTGGCATACGGATCAGTGAAAGAGTCTGTAACAGGAATTGTAATTTGAGGGGATGAATAAATTCAGGGGGAAAAACTCAGGAAGGGACTGGTCAAGTGGTTATACAACCACGCCTGATGCGCCTAGTGGAGTGAATTTCAACTCGACTGCGGCATTGGGAGTTGCTAGACGATTCCCCACCTACCATCTAAGGGGTTGAGAGGACTTGCATTGCACATTGAATAGTCGTATGGCTCGGAATAGAGCTGCTGCACCAACTCAATTCCTGCAGCTCGTATCTTTGGCGAAATTTGATTACCCGTCCACAGGTAGACCTCGGAACCAAAGTCAAACACAAAGGCCTAGAGAATTAGAGAGAAAAGAAAAACCCAAAATTAGTCTCAAGACTACTTCATGTCCTCCAATCTGTTGGGGGATGAGACAAGCACCTTTTTGGAAACGAGCATGGCGTAGTGAAGAGGTGTCCCCCAAACCTCCGACAGGGGTTCAAGACGATCTTCATGCACCTCAAAGACTCGAGTTGAGTGTTGTATAACGGTCTCAAACACCAGGTCCTCTTCTTGTGGGCCACTAGCTAAAAAAGAAATTAAAAGGTACTGTAAGGTGCATAAGGAAGCAAGCACCTATCGCGTAAGTTGTGAGGAATTTCAGGATTAAATAATTGCATAACTTGCCTCCAGAAGCTGGTGACACTTACGGGAACTCTTAAATTGATCTATTGAAGTACCCAATGTGGCATAGAAGGTTTCGAGTTGATCCCTAGGAACACTGTCGGACTTTTCTTCGTCAATAGCAGTGAGGATCGGTTCTCGACCGCCAGAGGGGAATCCAAGATCATGCGTCTTGATTATCCAAGCAGCAACATCACGCACTTTGTTAGTTTCAATCACATTCGCGCATTTTCCTGTCCAGAGGTAGAGAGAGTTGGTTCTAGGCAGTAGGAGAAGGAAACAGTCTCCAGAATTGAGCGATGCCGCAACTGGAGCAACCAGACGTGTCTGCACTTGCCGACGTCCTTTGATGGAAAGCAATACAATCTTAGCCACCTTGACAACCAACAGTGACAGACAAGTGACTTGGAAGTGAGCTACCTTTTACTAAAAGCAGCATCACATCTTTGTAAGGAAGAAGGCTTCTCTGAAAGGAGGCAAGAGGTGCCTGCTTCTCCTCAGCCACAACTCGAAGGCGTTCCTTAGTGGAGGAGAAGTTTTCCACGCTGGCCAAACCTGCCACCACAGCGTCGCTTAGATGAGCATTCATGTCTGGTAGATCTGTCAGGTGCAAAACAAAAACATCATGAATGCCGTGGCACCAAGGTCGACTGGATGCTGAACGACGAGTGTTTGTTGCAATCACAGTGAAACACACAACCAATGCGAAAGATTTTTGAGACGACATTTAATGATGAATGACACCTGAGGAATTTGGTGTTGGTCCCGATCCCACATATACAACCGAGGTGATCTGAATTGGATGAGAACCTTCCTCTTGAGGAATGATCAACACCCGATGGATTAGAGTCTGGCCAGAAAAGCCAAGGATGAAGGATTACAAGAGGGACCATGCAACCAAACCGCAATGGGAGAGGAATGTGGCCAGTTATGTGGATACAAGTTCACCAGACGCCTTGTGAAATGGTAGAGAAATCAACAACCAGTGTTTATTTAGCGACAATTCGGCCAGTTGTAAATCAACACCAAAGATTTACATTTGCATAAAAATTAGGCCTATGAAAGGGAAGACATGTTCAAATCCAAATGCAAGGGAAACAGACTGTGAGCTCCAGATGGGCAAATTGGACTTAATTAATTAGGCACCCCATTACCCCCCATCATTTAAAATGCTTGAATGGAGTCTTTGCCAGCCCGCTCCCACAGAACAATTGCAATCCAATTACCAAACGTCCAGTCGCGGTCTTATTCAACGCTCACTACGAATGTGCTTTGCCAATGCAATCAGCAGGCGGGAGAACTTACCGATGCCTGCCTAGATGGTGGGCTATCATATCAAATGACTAACTTCCTCAACTGAACGCTCTTGACACAATCCAGTAAATATCCTAGTCCTTAATGAACACATAATGAATAAGATCTCGCATGTTCGTAGGTGATGGAAATCACTAGCGGTCAATCAACCAGCGTCCACAAAGGCTCTGATTACTGTAACAGCAGTAATGCTACTCTTCCAAGTGCTCACCAAGTCGAACTTGGTGAGAGAAAGTAAGTCACAAAAAACGTGTAAAATCTAACCAAACAAACAAACAAATGAACAAACTACTTCGAATTCCCGTGATGAGTTGAAGTAAACAATGACTGTTGGAGGCTGTGTTAAGGCGCAGAGGAAAAGCTTGGTTTACACTACAGTTGAGTGGTAGATGAGTATTTCACACACACCCACAAAAAAAAACTACACAAGACGTGCACGTGTTTTGCCTTTGCCGATCATCACCTTACAGAAGTAAATGGATTTAAGCAGTCCTCTTTTATAGGCACAAGCGCTCAATAAAGCACTACGCATTCATTAAGCCGCTCCTGCGATAAACATCTACCCGGCTTGATAATTACGCACAGAAAGCTAAGTAAGTCCACTGAACAGTGGCCACCGACATCTGCGTCCGAGATGTGACAAGGAGCAGTTGATTTAATACCATTTAAGGTCATCCCTGAATGTGTAGATCGATGGTAGGTATCATTTTAAACCCCCATTACCCTGGACGTCGTCATTAGGAGAGTTGTAAAGAGCCAATTGTAGAGTAAGAAACAATTTGGTGAGGATCACAGGGTAGTGGACATAAAAAAGTCAACATTTTCTGAGACGTACCTTATGGAGGGCTACCGTTACAGCAATGGGGAGGGGAATGAGACTGGGGACTAGCAAATGAAAGAGTCTAAGCACCTTCATTTTAATAAAACAGCACATTTGTTAGAAAAAGAAGTCTAAGAGATTAGGCGCCTTCAAACTTCAGAATGAGTAGACTAGAAAAAGCCACAAAAAGGGGGACAAAAGCCTCATTTTTTGGATAAGGATGGGGATTCAAAGATTCCTATTACCACGAGGTGATACCAAATCTGAAAGGCAGAGAAAGCGGTCCTCTGCACGCACAGTGCCAATCGATATGATACGACGTGGCAACACTTTTGTCCTACCAAAAGGTGATAAGTTTGACCACACTGATGGCGTCTTTAATTTATAATTCAGTGCTGGAAAGACAGACGTACTGGTTGAAGAGGCGGAGAACCCTAGCACACCCGTAGCTCCAGCCAACCGACGACAAGGCGTAACTTGTTGCCGGGTCGACGCAGCATTCTCGGTCTCACCATGTACCACAACATGAACCTCCTCGTAGGAGTCCTTCAGCCCAGGTGTTTCGTTAAGTCGTCGTACTGGATTCTTCCATTTCGCTGGCGCACGGGAGGAGGGACCCGCTGGTCGCTTCATCTGCACCAAGCTAAACCAACGAACGAGCATTTTGGCAGTGAAAGAGTGCAAAATGAATGCCCGTAAGAAACGCAAGGAAGGGAGATCAAACAAACGGTTCGACACAACGAAACGATAAGCAGCTCAACCACTCACTTAGTGTACTTCCTAACTCTTCTACTAAAGAGGAGATCAAAAGGGATCGAGATCGGTCAAAAGCAGTGATAATCTTGCCAATATTTTATCAACCTGGAGACAAACTGCAATGATATCCATGCGTATGCAGGAGACGTACCCAACAGTGGTGTCTACGAGCTGAGCACTTGACAACGGGGTGTGATTCTCCATGATTGCCGAGTCGACATTTTGGAGGGTGTTGAGTCCGAAGAACTGATCAACGAACGACTCATTTATTTTTGGAACTGGAACCGTCTACATGTGAGAAGAAGAGGAACACCTATTGAATGATTTCGAAAATTCCTTCAACACACGATACTTCGTGATAGATGCTTCAGCAAAGCATTTCAATCTTGAAAATATTTGCACTAATAACTGGAGGGAGGGGAGAGGAAGTAGAACTTGGGAACTGCAAAGCTTGCGCTTGCGTCTCATGCAGGTTGCACGGAAAGATTGCCGGACCGATAGTGGTCAAGCGCTGGTAGGTAACATCGGTGAGACAAGATGTTAACACCAATGCCGATGTCAAAGCGGAGGGATCACTGGATTCGAATATTGATAGATGTGAATTTAGACCGTTGATGCCAAAGTAAAACCTGCCACTCAAACTCAGAATAGAACCATTTTGCTGAGGTAGAAGTGAATGAGAGTATGAAGAATTTATAACTACAGTTTAAAAAACCCACGGGAGGTAGTGCTGTGGGAAAGATTACTATACTAAAAGAAGGGGGATGACTTTGAGAGCCTTTCCATGCGATGTCAAAGTACACAATTAATTTAGACCCCGCGCTTGAACCTGTAACAAGGGTTGAGGCATCAGTGCCCATATGGGTACACGCGAGTTCAGCCTAGTTACGCAATTTCGGTGCACACAAAATTTTACCATGTACTTGGTCAAGGAAAGGCAAATGTTTGTACACCAATCCAATTTCCAATTAATGGAGAGCACTATGCTACTTTTGACCATCCTAGACCAATTGGATAAATGAGTGGTTTCAGCAGAAAGAATGCAAAGTTCAGTTACCGACCTTTCTGACTACAGTTATGTCGGACTCATCTTTCTCTTGTTGACCGATGAGTGTGAAAAGTTTGGACTCTGAAGAAGGAAAAAGGGTCATGTATGCGCTAAGGGTGGGGACATCTCCCACTTTGCCCATCAGGATCAGCTTACCAACTTCAAAGGTTCTTCGCATAACACGCTTCTGTGGCGTCCGCGCTGGTTCAATTGATGGCAGCTTCTCGACTGTGCCCGAGGAACCACCTAGCAGAAGGACAAGAACAGGTTAGCAGGTTAAGTAGAAAACAAATTCCACAAATAAGTGCCAACATAATTGACAACGATCATAGTTCGATGATAGAGTAACTTATCATGTGAGTCCATGTGCCAATGCCAGATCAAATGACTAGAGGCAATAACTATTGTCATCGTCACCCTCGTAATCGAGTAAACCACTCAAAGTTGTAAAATCCCACATAATGATAAAAACCGAGGCGTTTATACCTCCGATTAGACTAAGAGGTGGTGCACGGACAACCAACAATGTTGACACCTTTTCATGGCATATTTAAACTGGGGTAAGTAAAGTGGGAACAGAGAGGAACCGCCCAGGAGGCTGATTGGCCATTAAGAAGAAACCGTGATAACACGTAAAAGGGTCGGAGACGAAATAATTTACAATTACGTCAAAGCAGTGATGATTCAGCAGCACCAAAAACATGTGCACACACACATACACATACACACACGATGTTGAGACTTTCAAGACAACTCATTAGCCGTAAACTCATGAAAAGGGTGACATCGTTGACTTTCTGTTAATAAATTTCGCCGAAAAATAATCTCTTCTGAGCCTGAAACGGTGAGGAACGCATAAAACAAGGCTTGGAAACAATAGACTCCATCCTATTTGATATGCGAGAGTATGGAGATAGAGGGGGGAGGAAGGTGACCCAAGCTAAACATTGACAGTGTC